ATATATATATATATATATATATATATATATATATATATATATATATATATGTCATATTTATAAAATAGATATTTCATCAAAAATTGTTAAGAGAAAGAATTATAAATTTCTTTTACAAAATTTCATATGACAGATATTCGCAAATTAATAATTTCTTACGTTTATACTGTGCATGGAAGTTTTTGCTTGTATCTTGACAATATATAGTACAGTCGATATAAAGACATGTTCTAAAACAATGGATTAATAAAAAGAGAAAAATTTTGGAAAATATGCAAAACAGCTTCACCAAGTGAATTAATTAATTATATAAGTATTTTACCAGTTTTTTTTTTCATAATTGTGTGCTGCGTTATTTAGAAGGTCAATACAATAGAATCTTTACCACAATGACACAATAAGTGTCAATAAAATGCACTTGAATTATAGCTAAATTATTACGAATTGCGAAAGTTTTTAGAAATTACTGATTTGCGTAAGTTTCTAGAAATTTTGTTGAGCTTTTGTCGTATTGATTGATTTTGTTAATGCAGCGCGAAGGAAGATGGTGCTCGGGTATTTAACATCAGGCGCCTTTCAGTATCATTATCATCTCCACGAGTTACCAGCAGCGGCTCTCTTACTGACCGCAATTTTGAACAAACTTACTGTCGGTAAGAACGCGCACTACATCGTTGATTAAGCGACAATTGCCGCGATGTGACGTTTTAATGTAAACTTATGTCTCGGCAGATTAATAGAGATATTTGATTTGGATCGCGCGGATCTATATCTCGCTAATAGATAATAACACATGGCGGCGATGAAGTAGACTTGCGGCTTCCGTTATGTTTACGTAAATCATGAACAGAGACCACGTGTCTTATCTAGATGGACTTGCATGGGTTTTGCGCTTCAACAGGCTGCGTGCAACGCAACTGTACTTTAACACAAATGGAAAGAAAAGAAAAACGAAAAGTAGTATTTTTCAGTGTATATACGGAGAAAATTTTATAGTAAAAATTACTATAGAATTTTCTAAGCACACTAAGAGAAAAAAATAATTGGAATAACTATAATCTCACTATATTTTATAGTTCGTTTTGGCCTCAAACATATATTTATATAGTTCATCCAAAAACGAAGATATAACAGAATGAACATACATTTATAGTCACCATTTTATTACTTTATGTGTATAGTAAGGCACGCTTTGAGAATATAGTTATATGTACCCATATTTTCCAAATATTCCAATTGTATTGACTATATAAAATAGTTAATTTCTCTTACCATTTAATATTTGCTATCTTACTATGTTTTTTATTTCAAATAATTATAATTCTTGGTAAAAGTTTTACATGAGTCAGTTATACTATGCTTATATTGTAAATATTACAAACATTATGGTGACATTTACTATAAAAAAGATATTCCTAACTATAATCTTTTTACTATGCCATTATAGTTCCAAATATCATACATTTTTCTCTCAGTGCAATAGGAAAAGGTCGACATTCTGCAATAATCGACTACTTTTTTATTTCATGTGCGCTTTATATATCTTAGGAAGTGAGATGTGATATTATAAAAAATTTGCTATGTTTTTTAGCAAGATAGATCTAACTGATAACCTATTTCTGCACCGATAGATCTGACCGATAGTCTATTTCTGCAACACAGTAAAATTAAAAAGAACTCACAAAAAAAGGAAACTATATTTTATCCGTGTACATATCGTTTAAATTTCAGTGATATTTTTGCGAGTAGGAAAAGGTCGACGTATGCATAGAGTTAAAGCAGAAGCAATTAATACCGCAAATGTAAATAGCATGAAAGTATATTTAGGCATGTGTTTGTGTTTTTGGTTGTGTTTTTGAATGTTGATCAATAAACACTAGATAAGATAAGATTACTCGAGTCAACACAAATCTGACAGAATTTGCATTCCTTCATATTCTACGTGCAAGTTTTCCAGGAAGCTGTATCCGAAGATCAGCCAATTTGTATTCGCGTACGTTAATACATCGTAATCATGAGGGAAGTAGGACGACACCGGTGTGTAATGTCAACGTATCGGAAATGATTGCGAGCTTGCGCAAGACTCGAAAGGCTCGCGCGCAGCGTTAGAATAATTGAATCGTAACTGTTTAAGACAAGCGAACATACTGATCAAGCCATTTCTCCAACTAATATGCCGAGTCAACAAATTTACAGCAATTAAGCCACTTAATGTACACGTGGAAATGCTTCTGAATCATATGCAGTTCGACGTTCGAGCAAGCGTATATTTTTAAAGGACTGAGTTAATTGAGGTTAATGGAGAAAGCTACTGCGCGGTAGCGGCACATTTACATGTGCAATAGTCGAGCATGCGCAATCGGATGTGTGTTTCAAGATGAAATGTAGTGTACCCTCCCAAGAGTGGCAGAAGAGTTTTGAATAGTCGGCAGAATTAAGTGAACGTCGCGGGAAACGGGAATGCCAAAGTGTCGTGTAGACGAGCAATCTTTCGGAAAGTTTTGATCTGTTCGTTAAATCCTTTTTCTAATTCTTTTTCAATTCCCTGGTTCACGTTCTTTCCTTCACCGTCTCTTTAATTTTTTGGAACATGGACGTAATTAGTATCTCGGGTGATCAAGACTTAACCGCGATAGACAAGCATATTTTTCAACCAAGCCTGGTGTCGAGTGACTTGACTAGAATACTTCTCTTTGTTGCTCACGATCAATTGGCGCAGCTTCATGCCGCTGAGCTCGTTTTTCATCAGAAATTTTATTGCGAAAAAATTGAACTTGTATCTTAACGATCTTCATGGTCGGCCCATTCCTGGAAGACACCGTCTTCCACGGTCTTATTCATTGAATTGCAGGTTGCAGCAGGGCCCCTTCCCAGGTAAACGTTTTTCTGCAATCCTACGTACAAGCGCGTCTCGATGTGATGCTTGGCGCCGGCATCCCTCCTCTTGCAGTGCGGTGCGGTGGCCGTACAGCTCGGAGAATACTGTTCGAACACTCTTTACTCGTCACCGTCAGTTTCTGGCACGAGCTAAACGCGAGAGCGCGAACAAGTGCATTTTCCAGATCGTAACTCCTAACACGTATGTGACGTTACGCCAAAAAGCGAGATAGTCAAAGAGAAGGGAAGAGAGAGAGAGAGAGAGAGAGAGAGAGAGAGAGAGAGAGAGAGAGAGAAAGAGAGCGTGTTCGAGCTCACGATCCTTTAAAGTCGGCCGGATATCCGAGTTTCATTTCCGTAAGCGCGAACTGGGTAAATTCTCATTAATCAGTAGGCTACTTAACTCTTGAGACGAAGTTACAAGCTGTATTGTAGTGGCGACCAATTTCTACATTTTTAAAATGCCCGAATGAAAACACAAGTGTACTTGGCGAGATTGAACTTGGCAAGACGATATTTCGGAAAACAAAATTATCAGAGAAATTTGGAAAAAAGAGGGAATACTTCGCGTAACAGTGAAGTTTCGAGAGAATTATAGAAGTTTTAGTTTAGCCGTAACAGTGTGTTGTTTAGCATTAACTTCGAAGAAAGACAATACCAAGGACATGTAAAAATAGAAACAAGTTGGTAGATAAAAACGAGCTCAGTGATATGAACTCGTATCGCCAATTGATCGTAAAAAGACAGTTGGAGAATATTTCAGTAAAATTTTAACTTAATCACGGTAAAGATGGTTGAAGAAAGTGTTTGTGAATAATCTATTGCATTTATGTGACACTTCATTACATAAACACTCGTTTAACGCTGCGCGTTCGCGACTGATACGTTGTTCCTCGCCGTTACATTCCTTATCCGTCAATTGTATTGCAGATATCCGGACAGTGAGGAAAACTAAAACAGCGGAAGCAGGCAGTGATATGAAGAATACGAAAATCGACGAATATGGTATGTTTGACGTATATTACGGCAGCATGAGAGATCGCGACGATAATTAAGGCGGCGATTAAGACGATAAATAATGAATAACGGTGAATCGGATTTCGCTTCACCTGGGCGAACTTTTCAGTCGGGCCTCAACCGCGAGCATATGCAACGTGGAAATTCGGTAAGCCGCAACAAATGACGATCCGTCCTGGCGTTTCCGCGCTCGAAAACAATCGGCTGCAAATCCGTTAAAAATTCTCCTCTCAACATTCGATCCATTTGTTCCGCGGCGCGCGTGAGGGGTAACAATGTTGTCGGAGTACATCGCAGTGCCGAATAAAAGAGGTGCATGAAAGGCAAGACTGACCTTTTCGAGGCATCGCAGAAGAATGCCGATGTAAATTGGAGCGCCCGAGAGCCGAAGGTTGTCTTCTCGATGTCTCGAGGTTAGCCGATAATTTTATGGTTCTCACGCACTGTCTAACATTTTTTCTCCTACGAACTAGTTTGATCGTCATTTACCGCGGTGAGTAGCGTATATGCTCACTAGTGCTGTCAGGTATAACCCGGGTAGTACTCGGCTATCCGGGCGCCCTCGCGGGTATTATTCGGGGTGACTAGGTAGTAAATAGTTAGGAGTACACAATGCATTCGTTCGTAGTTTGCTGTTGTTAGAAAAGCCTGGAAATGTCCAATTATTTCGTGCATTCATTGAATTAACTTTAGCCGCAAGTTGCTCATGTGCAGACGGCGTACAGACGCAAAATGAAGCTGTCTTCTCTCCGAGTTCACTGTCACTGATATGTTTACTGACACGACGAGAACAATGATACGCGTATCTTATCGGTAAAGAAAGGGGGAGGAGGGAGGAAAGAAAGAGGAAACGGTCCTATTTCTACACTGACAAAGATCTTTCGATTATTAGGTCAAAAGCACGTTTGCTATTTGATGATCGTCAGGTCGAATGATCGCAGTTACTGTTGCAAGTCACTTCTACATCACACGTCACTCTAAGAAACATACATTGCCTGAGATGCAAATCACATTTCTCCTGGTCTGTTTGGCTCAGGTTAGTTATCTCTACATGACAGAAGCGTTGAAACGCAGAGCGGTAAATTGAAAGTGACAAATCATTTGTTCCCATTTGTTGTTCCATGTCGACCAACGTTTCGTCTGTTGTGAGTATTAGTATTTTAATTAAATTAACAAATTGTTTTCCATCGTCTCTCAGTGTAATTTATTCAAGTAATATTCAAGTAAAGATACAGGCAAGACTCGCAAGATCCGGAGTACTTGGATAGTTGAAATTGACAGCGTTAATACTCACACCACGCATATGTCTGTTCAACCACTGGCACGATCGGCCGATCATCGTTCACGCTCGCCGCCTCCCGTCAAATCGTCGTTTCGCGATCGAAAACTCGTCTCCTTGGTCGCGCGGTGAAATATTCGCAAGCCGACATGAAGTGTCGCGACGACGACCGTTGAGCCGACTTTCTCGGTTAATTTCAGCAAAAATAGGTTATAGGCGTGTTTGTGAGATTCTCGAGATATACATTTGTGAGTACATATTCGCGTTCGCGCGAACTGTATTTGCGCGGCTGATAATTTATGTGTGCGAGCACGAACTAATTGCCGGAAAATGATAACGTGCGCGAAAAGTTGCGTACCGAAAAAAATTACGCGCACGAATGCGAGCGAGTATCTAAGAAGGAGTCAGCAGGCGAGGAGTTTCCCGTTAGGCGAGGAAAACTGCGGTTTTCTTCATTCCCTACCAGAAAGAAAATTAAATCATCGATGGCTCGTTAGAGACCGTGATTTACGAGATTATTTATGAGATGAGTCGTAAAAGAGCGAATAATTTCATCTGCTCAATACTAATAACTTATTAATATGCATGAGACAAGCGCTGCTTCGACATTCATACTCTTCACGACGAGCTCCTCCTGCTCCCCGATAAAATTTACCTAAGCATCCTATTAATCTTTTCGATTTAACGCTAGAAGTAGGTAAGACCGAGTTTAGATGATCTCAGAAGTTACTCATGTGTTTCTTTTTCTAGTATTTATCTTGAAAAAAACACAGTGGGTACAAAATCGCGAAAATGGTCTTTTTAAAAAACATAGATATCTCTCCTTGAGTTTTGTTAAAATCGGAATAATTAATATTACAGTTAGAAAATAGAAAAAGAACTGACTCAGTAGTAACAAAGTAATTTTCGAGCTTCTCAAAATTTCGTATTAATATTCTCTATCATGAGTGAATAAATCTAAGCGACATGTAACTAGCTAGAATGAAAACTCTTTCAAGTGTATAATATACTGTTTCGAGTAATAAAATAAATTTTCATTCATAAAATGATTGAAGTCATATGGTAATACGAGATAAAATTGGCCCATAATTATGGATCGGCAAGTGGGCTGTGGAGACCTTTCGTAGAGATCTTGCAACTACTGCGAGAGAAAAATGTTTAACATTTGTAACTATCATATAGAGTACTAATCATATAGAGAAATAATTACTATAAATTATGGTCAAGACAATTATTTTTTAATCAATTGTATTATAATTTTAGTGATAATAACTTTATATGCGTGTTACTACTGTTATCTTTGTGTCAAATTTGGCCTCAACTATATTTTTTAATTGTTCCAACACAAAGATAGTAGTAGTAACATGCATATAGGATTATTTTCACTAAAATTATAGTACAATTGACTAAAAAAATGATTGTCTTGAGCATAATTTATAATAATTATTTCTTTATATGATTATAGTTACAAATACCAAACATTTTTCTTTCAGTGTATAAGCAGGATACATATTTCATATATATATTTTTTTATACCCTCCGCTACTGAGCAACTAAGCCCGGTACCAGAGCATACTGAGAGAAAAATGTATGATATTTGGAACTATAATGGCATAGTAAAAAGATTATAGTTAGGATTATCTTTTTTATAGTAAATGTCACCATAATGTTTGTAATATTTACAATATAAGCATAATATAACTGATTCATGTAAAGGTTTTACTAAGAATTATAATTATTTGAAATAAATAACATAGTAAGGTAGCAAATATTAAATGGTAAGAAAAATTAACTATTTTATATAGTCAATACAATTGAAATATTTGGAAAATATGGGTACATGTAATTATATTCTCAAAGCGTGCTTTACTATACACATAGTGTAATAAGATGATGACTATAAATGTGTGTTCATTCTGCTATATCTTCGTGTTTAGATGAACTATAAATATATGTTTGAGGCCAAAACAAACTATAAAATATAGTGAGATTATAGTTGTTCCAATTATTTTTTTCTCTCAGTGCAGATGGTTGTTGCTACATGTTTGTAGTTTGATTATTTTGGTTATTGTCACCGAAGGCGACATCGACAGACTAACGTCACGATCGACGAGAAACAGGTAGACGGCGTACGCGGCAATAAATTTATATTTAATATAAATTTCTTGCGTACCCGGAGTGAAACACATATAGTCTCTTTAAATTGCAGCGGGCGTGAACGTTAAACGAGTTTCCAATGGTAAAGACGACCATGTCGATGGTGACGCAAATGTCGACGCCGTGCAGACCGCAATCGACAATCTCGGCAGATGGCAAGTCACCGTCTGCCTGGCGATTTCCCTGGTCAAATTTCCGGTAGCCTGGCATCAATTGGCGATTGTCTTCATGGCGCCGCACCAGGATTATAATTGCACGGAGCCTGCCACCACGGACTCCAAAGACCAATGCACGGTCAACGTTAACGGCACATTAGTCGAGTGCACGGAGTGGAAATACGACCGAAGTGTCTTTTCCGAGACCATTATATCGCAGGTGAGCATGAAAGAGGCGACATCAAATCGTTAAACTGTTAATACGGCCTAGTTGTCTAAAATGAAGGAAAAGAAAAATATCCAGGCGTTTTCACACATTCCCGCGGATCGTTCGTTACGTGTCGCGAGCTGTACTTACATTGCGGGATAGTGCGATTAGAGAGAATTATTATTGTGTTTCATATTACCGCGAACTCTACGGCGCTATTGGCACTTCGCTGATAAAATCATACCCTATTATTATAAGAACAACGAAAACAATCGTTGTTATCGTAAAGGTTATTTTCGTTACAGTGGAATTTAGTCTGCGATCGGACGCACTACGCGAACATACAACAGTCTATTCTTATGTTCGGCGTGCTGCTCGGTAACATAATCTTCGGCAGTTTAGCGGATAGGCAAGTGCATCGGTCACGTCAGTTAAGCGCATGTACAATTGAGCTCGTGCAGCTATTAAAAAGCGACTACATGGAGAAGTAGGAGAGTAAGAAGTGCTCGCGTAACTTGCAGGTACGGCAGGAAAGTACCGCTGATGGTTTCCGTGGTTCTCAAACTGGTATCGGGGATTGGATGCGCCGTAGTGCCTTGGTTTCAAGCATTGTTGCTGATGAAACTATTGAGCGCCATGGCTACTGGAGGCACAATGGTGACTAGTTACGTTATTTGTGAGTCTACGATGAATTATGATAAATTGATATTTGAGTCTTTAGATCGATGCTATGGTATGTAAGTATGGGTAAAAGGCTACAGTAGATTATTTTACGTATAAGAGCAGATATTATTTCATAACGTCTCACCAAAGAAATACGATCCTTCTCACGATATACTGTTGCTATTAATTGATTAGCATGATCAGCAATGTAATTGTCCCAATTATAGGTGGAATTTGATTTACTAAAAAAGTTCACATTATGTACTTTTTGAAAACAAGGGAAAATAATTTTTTTTATATTCCTTAATTTTGTATTTTAAAATCCAACTCAAAAACGTATTAATATTTAAGAATTAATATTTAAGAAAAAATTTAGAATATCAATTATTTTACCGACTCCTTAAATTTATGAAGCTACTAATAGATTGTGCTACATGTATATACCATTATTCTGTATAGATTAAAACAACGTGAATTGTGAACATTATTAATATAAATTTAGGTGTTGTATAGTCCGTGATATTTGCTAACCATTCATTATAATTAAAACTCTCACCCTTAAATGTTTTTAATCATTTTTTTTATAATTTAGAATAATCTAATTTAAAATCCAGTTTTTTTTAACTACAATGTTAGTTGCTTATTTTTGTATCAATAGCTCGTTTTAAAATTCGATCGATAAATTTATATAAATATAATGAAAGTTGTTCTCTCTAAACATAAGTGAGCCATAATTAGGAGCGTTACCTTACTAATGAGTTTTTTCATTTATAATGTGTATTGTTTTAACTGTGTATCTCTTTTTAGGCATGGAAATAGTGGGTACGAAATGGCGAGCCGCCATCACTGTTCTGTACCAATTTCCTTTTGCCTTAGGACATCTGTCGTTGGCGGGATTGGCGTTCTGGTTTCGACATTGGCAACAATTGCAGATCGCCATCACCCTTCCGTCCATTATTCTTTTAAGTTATTGGTGGTTAGCACCTGAATCGCCTAGGTGGTTATTAGCTATGGGAAGGCAGAAAGCGGCCTGCAAGATCTTGCAGAAGGCAGCCAGTATCAATAAAATGGAAAACGTGGACATTCCCGAAGTGATAAGGAAACATTGCTTGCAGCAGGTGAGAAAAGCGTTCAACGATTATATTCTGCCGGAAAAAATTTCGCTAAATTAAGTCTAATACTTCGATGTTAGTTAAGAAACTAATTACTTCAATTAGCCTATGCAAGAATGATTTAAATCACGAAATCATAATTTTTGCGTTTTTCTTGAACTACCAATTAGTAGTTCATACGTCTTTCTACATAAAACAAAAAAGATCCAAGCCTTATGTACGCCTAAATTAATTAAAAAACAGACTTAATTCTACTTGCGCCATTTTTTACTAGTTGCGTCTTCTTTACATATTTTTACAGTTTAAGCTTGTTAATGAATACCTTTCTTAAAAAAGAGAAAATTGATCATATTCGATTTCTTAAACGACTGTCAAGAACTTCAATATTATTTATGTTTTTTAAATTGTCTATTAAATTTTTATGAGTTGAATTTTCCTTGTATAACTAATTGGTGTTACGACTAATTATAGTTCTGATATGCGTTACAGAATTTTAAGAAATCCATATTGGATCATAGAGCCTCGTTTGTGGATCTTTTTCGTACGCCAAACATGCGAATAAAATCCCTGTCGATTTTCTTCAACTGGACCGTTTGTGGAATGGGCTTGTTTGGCATGTCACAGTATATCGGCCAGGTCGGCGGCGATATTTTCATTAATTTCGCAGTATCCGGTGCTATACAGATTCCTGGAAACTTCGTCGCATGGTGGGCAATGAACAAATTAGGTCGACGAGTCACTCTGATTTGCAGCAACTCTACAGCCGGCGTGGCCTGTCTGTTCTTGATCATCGTATCAAACGGTAAGAGATGCGTTATGTATCGTAAACAGTCGTTATTACATCGAAACACGACGGTGGGTCGAAATTTCTCGCAGCGTCACGATTTATTGGGTTGTGTAATATTTGAGAGATTGCCTCCCCCGCCGCTCATTATCCACGAATGATTTCGCGAACAAAACTATCGGGTCGTGTAATGAGCAATTTCGAACTTTTCGTATGTTAATGAAACGATTGTACTTTTATGTTGTTATAATTTTATGAAGCAATATATGCAAAGGCTCTAGTAAGGTTGCAGTACGCATAGGTTAAAACATTATTTCATTAAATAATAATGACATAAAAACGAAACTGTTTAATTTTTTGCCTGAATAATTCAAAATTACACTGAAAGAAAAAATATCTAAAGAATAAAAAATATTGATTCAGCGAGTATTAATAACAAAAATTCCCTTAAATCTAAATTTTTTTATTCGAATAGAATAAACAGTTGTTTTAGAATAAATAGTTGAAAAAAGTTAAAGAGAAATATATATATTTTTATTTGAAGAATATTGAATATATTAGAGCAATAAATACGTTATTAGTACTTATCGAAAAAATAATGTTTATTTTTTAGATATTTCTTCTCTCAGTGTAACTCAACGATTTCGCTCGCGAAATTATTCTCGCGCCGGTGGACAATGAGCGAGCGGGAGAGGGGGCGATCTTTCAAAAAGACGCATGGTCGATACGTTTTCGTTGTAGATATCGCCTGGTTAAGATTGCTGTTGGCATGCTGCGGTATCGTCGGTATAGCGGTATCGTTCACGACAGTCTACCTTTTCTCCGGAGAACTGTTCCCCACAGTCGTGAGGAACATCGGAGTCGGCACGAGCAGCATGTGCGCCAGACTAGGTTCCATCGTGGCGCCGTTCGTGGTGTCTTTGGTAAGTTTTCGCATTAATCGACTGTCGCTTATACACTCGCGAAACTTAGAGACCGGGTAATGTTGTTCTGACTTTTGCTCACGTATACAGGCTGAAGTCGGGCCCGTCGTGTGATGTCGCGTGAACAGGTTGCTTATCACTATTGATTGTTTCTCGCTAAGAATCGAAGGAACGTCTCATCGCCACTGGAGGATCGGCGATTCTCTTTTCTAGGTTGCATTTCAAAACATCTTTTTTGAGGAAAATTTTACTCTTAAATCTATAGTTTATATTACATATACTATGGACTTAAGAGTAAAATTTTCTTCGGAAAGGACGTTTTGGAATGCAAACCTAGATTGTTAATTTCAGACATAATTTCAGAGCGGCATCAAAGCGTGGCTACCGCCGACCGTGTTCGGCGTCTTGCCGTTAATTGGCGCCGCGCTGTGTCTGTTATTGCCCGAAACTGCAGGATGCACACTGCCAGAGACGCTTCAGGACGGAGAGGAGTTCGGAAAGTGAGTGAAAGCCCGCGCGCCGGTTTCGTAAATTTAGATGCATGCATTCGAATATACTCCGAATTATGAAACGCATCGATCTCCTTGTGCGCAGGAAGTGTAAGGCGAAAGGGACATATGTGGATGCCGAAGCGGAAGCAGCATTCTGAGGCGAAGCTGCCACGACGAAGCTTTTTAGCCTTATTCCCTAGCAGTCACAAACTATAAACTATAACTAAGTGACGCAAGTGCTATCATTAGCTAACATAAAGCGAGCGACGTTTGTTGTTTGATCTCGCACACAATTAAGCAATTTTATTTATTATATCATTTCCATAATATACGTTAAAAAGACAGGAGTAGGTATACAAGGGCGGTTCTAAGAGGGGGGTGCATGGCGTGGGGAACTGACGGCGTGATGGCTGACGTCACGCGGGAGAGGGGACTTACCGACATTTCTTTTTTACCGACATATTACCGGTATTTTTACCAACATATTTATTTTTTACCAACGTATATATATTTTTACCAACATATTTATATTTACCAACATATTTTTTTACCGACATATTATTACCGACATAATTGGTAATTTTTATTGACCCTGCGATTTGTTTTTACCGACACATCTTTCCACATATTTTTTTAACATAATATCGATATAATTGACCGTTTCATCAATCCTCCCCTTTTCGATTTTGTTAATGCAGCGCGAAGGAAGATGGTGCTCGGGTATTTAACATCAGGCGCCTTTTAGTATCATTATCATCTCCACGAGTTACCAGCAGCGGCTTTCTTACTGACCGCAATTTTGAACAAACTTACTGTCGGTAAGAACGCGAGCGCTACGCGTTCAAAATGACAGTCTACGTTTTCGGCAGTGGTTTTTCATGTAAACGTTCGTTAGAAGTAAGGTACACTTTAAGATCGTAATTATTAGAGCATGCTTTTATTGTGCGGCACGTCTTGATGAATTTCTTCTTAATTTCGTCCTTCATAATAAAAAAAAAGATTAGAATTTCATCGCCGAGAGGAGACTTGGTTAATCAAGAAGATATATGCGAGAATACAATATATATACCGAAAGAATCCGCAATGATCCGACCTCGATGCACTATAGTAAAACTTGTTGAAATATTTAATGCGGCTCACGATTGTAGTGGAGAAATACTTGGTTAAAACTATTTCCTTCGTAATATAGAAATGCTTCACTTTAATCGATCCCGCTTTTTTCTCGTATTGTGTCGCTCGATTTTATACGGTGTTTCGTAATATTACAGTAAGAAAATTATTAAGCTAGTTGTGCGGCACTATTTCGCGAAGTATCTAACGACGTTTAACCAGAGGCAATTCGGTCATTATTACATAAACTCGTATCCTGGTTACACGAATGATTTAGAAACTTCGGGGCAATCAAGTATTTGTCGTAATGAACGATAATTGAGAGAGTTACTAATATAAAGATATATATCATATTCAGCAATTTTCCTTCACTTGGTAGCTTTTCTTTTTCTTTGTTCGTACGTTCGTGTGGCTCGCGATAAATATGTAACAGAAGGAAACAAGCCGATACCCGTTTCCTCAGTTTTCTGAAGCAACCGGGCGATATTTAAAACAGACCACTGCATCGTTGATTAAGCGACAATTGCCGCGACGTGACGTTTTAATGTAAACTTATGTCTCGGCAGATTAATAGAGATATTTGATTTGGATCGCGCGGATCTATATCTCGCTAATAGATAATAACACATGGCGGCGATGAAGACTTGCGGCTTCCGTTATGTTTACGTAAATCATGAACAGAGACCACGTGTCTTATCTAGATGGACTTGCATGGGTTTTGCGCTTCAACAAGCTGCGTGCAACGCAACTGTACTTTAACACAAATGGAAAGAAAAGAAAAACGAAAAGTAGTATTTTTCAGTGTATATACGGAGAAAATTTTATAGCAAAAATTACTATAGAATTTTCTAAGCACACTAAGAGAAAAAAATAGTTGGAATAACTATAATCTCACTATATTTTATAGTTCGTTTTGGCCTCAAACATATATTTATAGTTCATCTAAAAATGAAGATATAGCAGAATGAACATACATTTATAGTCACCATTTTATTACTTTATGTGTATAGTAAGGCACGCTTTGAGAATATAGCTATATGTACCCATATTTTCCAAATATTCCAATTGTATTGACTATATAAAATAGTTAATTTCTCTTACCATTTAATATTTGCTATCTTACTATGTTTTTTATTTCAAATAATTATAATTCTTGGTAAAAGTTTTACATGAGTCAGTTATACTATGCTTATATTGTAAATATTACAAACATTATGGTGACATTTACTATAAAAAAGATATTCCTAACTATAATCTTTTTACTATGCCATTATAGTTCCAAATATCATACATTTTTCTCTCAGTGCAATAGGAAAAGGTCGACATTCTGCAATAATCGACTACTTTTTTATTTCATGTGCGCTTTATATATCTTAGGAAGTGAGATGTGATATTATAAAAAATTTGCTATGTTTTTTAGCAAGATAGATCTAACTGATAACCTATTTCTGCACCGATAGATCTGACCGATAGTCTATTTCTGCAACACAGTAAAATTAAAAAGAACTCACAAAAAAAGGAAACTATATTTTATCCGTGTACATATCGTTTAAATTTCAGTGATATTTTTGCGAGTAGGAAAAGGTCGACGTATGCACGATAGAGTTAAAGCAGAAGCAACAAATACCGCAAATGTAAATAGCATGAAAGTATATTTAGGCATGTGTTTGTGTTTTTGGTTGTGTTTTTGAATGTTGATCAATAAACACTAGATAAGATAAGATTACTCGTTCAATGAGTCAACACAAATCTGCACAGAATTTGCATTCCTTCATATTCTACGTACAAGTTTTCCAGGAAGCTGTATCCGAAGATCAGCCAATTTGTATTCGCGTACGTTAATACATCGTAATCATCAGGGAAGTAGGACGAGACCGGTGTGTAATGTCAACGTATCGGAAATGATTGCGAGCTTGCGCAAGACTCGAAAGGCTCGCGCGCAGCGTTAGAATAATTGAATCGTAACTGCTTAAGACAAGCGAACATACTGATCAAGCCATTTCTCCAACTAATATGCCGAGTCAACAAATTTACAGCAATTAAGCCACTTAATGTACACGTGGAAATGCTTCTGAATCATATGCAGTTCGACGTTCGAGCAAGCGTATATTTTTAAAGGACTGAGTTAATTGAGGTTAATGGAGAAAGCTACTGCGCGGTAGCGGCACATTTACATGTGCAATAGTCGAGCATGCGCAATCGGATGTGTGTTTCAAGATGAAATGTAGTGTACCCTCCCAAGAGTGGCAGAAGAGTTTTGAATATTCGACAGAATTAAGTGAACGTCGCAGGAAACGGGAGTGCCAAAGTGTCGAGTAGACGAGCAATCTTTCGGAAAGTTTTGATCTGTTCGTTAAATCCTTCCTCTAATTCTTTTTCAATCCTCTGGTTCACGTTCTTTCCTTCACCGTCTCTTTAATTTTATGGAACATAAACGTAATTAGTATCTCGGGTGATCAAGACTTAACCGCGATGGACAAGCATATTCTTCAACCAAGCCCGGTGTCGAGTGACTTGACTAGAATACTTCTCTTTGTTGCTCACGATCAACTGGCGCAGCTTCATGCCGCTGAGCTCGTTTTTCATCAGAAATTTTATTGCGAAAAAATTGAACTTGTATCTTAACGATCTTCATGGTCGGCCCATTCCTGGAAGACACCGTCTTCCACGGTCTTATTCATTGAATTGCAGGTTGCAGCAGGGCCCCTTCCCAGGTAAACGTTTTTCTGCAATCCTACGTACAAGCGCGTCTCGATGTGATGCTTGGCGCCGGCATCCCTCCTCTTGCAGTGCGGTGCGGTGGCCGTACAGCTCGGAGAATACTGTTCGAACACTCTTTACTCGTCACCGTCAGTTTCTGGCACGAGCTAAACGCGAGAGCGCGAACAAGTGCATTTTCCAGATCGTAACTCCTAACACGTATGTGACGTTACGCCAAAAAGCGAGATAGTCAAAGAGAAGGGAAGAGAGAGAGAGAGAGAGAGAGAGAGAGAGAGAGAGAGAGAGAGAGAGAAAGAGAGCGTGTTCGAGCTCACGATCCTTTAAAGTCGGCCGGATATCCGAGTTTCATTTCCGTAAGCGCGAACTGGGTAAATTCTCATTAATCAGTAGGCTACTTAACTCTTGAGACGAAGTTACAAGCTGTATTGTAGTGGCGACCAATTTCTACATTTTTAAAATGCGCGAATGAAAACACAAGTGTACTTGGCGAGATTGAACTTGGCAAGACGATATTTCGGAAAACAAAATTATCAGAGAAATTTGGAAAAAAGAGAGAATACTTCGCGTAACAGTGAAGTTTCGAGAGAATTATAGGAGTTTTAGTTTAGCCGTAACAGTGTGTTGTTTAGCATTAACTTCGAAGAAAAACAATACCAAGGACTTGTAAAAATAGAAACAAGTTGGTAAATAAAGACGAGCTCAGTGATATGAACTCGAACCGCCAATTGACCGTAAAAAGACAGTTGGAGAATATTTCAGTAAAATTTTAACTTAATTACGGTAAAGATGGTTGAAGATAGTGTTTGTGAATAATCTATTGCATTTATGTGACACTTCATTACATAAACACTCGTTTAACGCTGCGCGTTCGCGACTGATACGTTGTTCCTCGCCGTTACATTCCTTATCCGTCAATTGTATTGCAGATATCCGGACAGTGAGGAAAACTAAAACAGCGGAAGCAGGCAGTGATATGAAGAATACGAAAATCGACGAATATGGTATGTTTGACGTATATTACGGCGGCATGAGAGATCGCGACGATAATTAAGGCGGCGATTAAGACGATAAATAATGAATAACGGTGAATCGGATTTTGCTTCACCTGGGCGAACTTTTCAGTCGGGCCTCAACCGCGAGCATATGCAACGTGGAAATTCGGTAAGCCGCAACAAATGACGATCCGTCCCGGCGTTTCCGCGCTCGAAAACAATCGGCTGCAAATCCGTTAAAAATTCTCCTCTCAACATTCGATCCATTTGTTCCGCGGCGCGCGTGAGGGGTAACAATGTTGTCGGAGTACATCGCAGTGCCGAATAAAAGAGGTGCATGAAAGGCAAGACTGACCTTTTCGAGGCATCGCAGAAGAATGCCGATGTAAATTGGAGCGCCCGAGAGCCGAAGGTTGTCTTCTCGATGTCTCGAGGTTAGCCGAGCATTTTATGGTTCTCACGCACTGTCTAACATTTTTTCTCTTACGAACTGGTTTGATCGTCATTTACCGCGGTGAGTAGCGCGTATGCTCACTAGTGCTGTCAGGTATAACCCGGGTAGTAGTCGGCTATCCGGGCGCCCTCGCGGGTATTATTCGGGGTGACTAGGTAGTAAATAGTTAGGAGTACACAATGCATTCGTTCGTAGTTTGCTGTTGTTAGAAAAGCCTGGAAATGTCCAATTATTTCGTGCATTCATTGAATTAACTTTAGCCGCAAGTTGCTCATGTGCAGACGGCGTACAGACGCAAAATGAAGCTGTCTTCTCTCCGAGTTCACTGTCACTGATATGTTTACTGACACGACGAGAACAATGATACACGTATCTTATCGGTAAAGAAAGGGGGAGGAGGGAGGAAAGAAAGAGGAAACGGTCCTATTTCTACACTGACAAAGATCTCTCGATTATTAGGTCAAAAGCACGTTTGCTATTTGATGATTGTCAGGTCGAATGATCGCAGTTACTGTTGCAAGTCACTTCTACATCACACGTCACTCTAACAAACATACATTGCCTGAGATGCAAATCACATTTCTCCTCGTCTGTTTGGCTCAGGTTAGTTATCTCTACATGACAGAAGCGTTGAAACGCAGAGCGGTAAATTGAAAGTGACAAATCATTTGTTCCCATTTGTTGTTCCATGTCGACCAACGTTTCGTCTGTTGTGAGTATTAGTATTTTAATTAAATTAACAAATTGTTTTCCTTCGTCTCTCAGTGTAATTTATTCAAGTAAAGATACAGGCAAGACTCGCAAGATCCGGAGTACTTGGATAGTTGAAATTGACAGTGTTAATACTCACACCACGCATATGTCTGTTCAACCACTGGCGCGATCGGCCGATCATCGTTCACGCTCGCCGCCTCCCGTCAAATCGTCGTTTCGCGATCGAAAACTCGTCTCCTTGGTCGCGCGGTGAAATATTAGCAAGCCGACATGAAGTGTCGCGACGACGACCGTTGAGCCGACTTTCTCGGTTAATTTCAGCAAAAATAGGTCATAGGCGTGTTTGTGAGATTCTCGAGATACACATTTGTGAGTACATATTCGCGTTCGAGCGAACTGTATTTGCGCGGCTGATAATTTATGTGTGCGAGCACGAACTAATTGCCGGAAAATGATAACGTGCGCGAAAAGTTGCGTACCGAAAAAAATTACGCGCACGAATGCGAGCGCGTATCTAAGAAGGAGTCAGCAGGCGAGGAGTTTCCCGTTAGGCGAGGAAAACTGCGGTTTTCCTCATTCCCTATCAGAAAGAAAATTAAATCATCGATGGCTCGTTAGAGACCGTGATTTACAGATGAGTCATAAAAGAGCGAATAATTTCATCTGCTCAATACTAATAACTTATTAATATGCATGAGACAAGCGCTGCTTCGACTTTCATACTCTTCACGACAAGCTCCTCCTGCTCCCCGATAAAATTTACCTAAGCATCGAGGATTTACCTAAGCATCCTATTAATCTTTTCGATTTAACGCTAGAAGTAGGTAAGATCGAGTTTAGGTGACCTCAGGAGTTACTCATGTGTTTCTTTTTCTAGTATTTATCTCGAAAAAAACACAGTGGATACAAAATCGCGAAAATGGTCTTTTTAAAAAACATAGATATCTCTCCTTGAGTTTTGTTAAAATCGGAATAATTAATATTACAGTTAGAAAATAGAAAAAGAACTGACTCAGTAGTAACAAAGTAATTTTCGAGCTTCTCAAAATTTCGTATTAATATTCTCTATCATGAGTGAATAAACTTAAGCGACATGTAACTAGCTAGAATGAAAACTCTTTCAAGTGTATAATATACTGTTTCGAGTAATAAAATAAATTTTCATTCATAAAATAATTGAAGTCATATGGTAATACGAGATAAAATTGGCCCATAATTATGGATTGGCAAGTGGGCTGTGGAGACCTTTCGTAGAGATCTCGCAACTACTGCGAGAGAAAAATGTTTAATATTTGTAACTATCATATAGAGTACTAATCATATAGAGAAATAATTACTATAAATTATGGTCAAGACAATTATTTTTTAATCAATTGTATTATAATTTTAGTGATAATAACTTTATATGCGTGTTACTACTGTTATCTTTGTGTCAAATTTGGCCTCAACTATATTTTTTAATTGTTCCAACACAAAGATAGTAGTAGTAACATGCATATAGGATTATTTTCACTAAAATTATAGTACAATTGACTAAAAAAATGATTGTCTTGACCATAATTTATAATAATTATTTCTTTATATGATTATAGTTACAAATACCAAACATTTTTCTTTCAGTGTATAAGCAGGATACATATTTCATATATATATTTTTTTATACCCTCCGCTACTGAGCAACTAAGCCTGGTACCAGAGCATACTGAGAGAAAAATGTATGATATTTGGAACTATAATGGCATAGTAAAAAGATTATAGTTAGGATTATCTTTTTTATAGTAAATGTCACCATAATGTTTGTAATATTTACAATATAAGCATAATATAACTGATTCATGTAAAGGTTTTACTAAGAATTATAATTATTTGAAATAAAAAACATAGTAAGGTAGCAAATATTAAATGGTAAGAAAAATTAACTATTTTATATAGTCAATACAATTGAAATATTTGGAAAATATGGGTACATGTAATTATATTCTCAAAGCGTGCTTTACTATACACATAGTGTAATAAGATGATGACTATAAATGTGTGTTCATTCTGCTATATCTTCGTGTTTAGATGAACTATAAATATATGTTTGAGGCCAAAACAAACTATAAAATATAGTGAGATTATAGTTGTTCCAATTATTTTTTTCTCTCAGTGCAGATGATTGTTGCTGCATGTTTGTAGTTTGATTATTTTGGTTATTGTCACCGAAGGCGACATCGACAGACTAACGTCACGATCGACGAGAGACAGATAGACGGCGTACGCGGCAATAAATTTATATTTAATATAAATTTCTTGCGTACCCGGAGTAAAACACATACAGTCTCTTTAAATTGCAGCGGGCGTGAACGTTAAACGAGTTTCCAATGGTAAAGACGACCATGTCGACGGTGACGCAAATGTCGACGCCGTGCAGACCGCAATCGGCAATCTCGGCAGATGGCAAGTCACCGTCTGCCTGGCGATTTCCCTGGTCAAATTTCCGGTAGCCTGGCATCAATTGGCGATCGTCTTCATGGCGCCGCACCAGGATTATAATTGCACGGAGCCTGCCACCACGGACTCCAAAGACCAATGCACGGTCAACGTTAACGGCACATTAGTCGAGTGCACGGAGTGGAAATATGACCGAAGTGTCTTTTCCGAGACCATTATATCGCAGGTGAGCATGAAAGAGGCGACATCAAATCGTTAAACTGTTAATATGGACTAGTTGTCTAAAATGAAGGAAAAGAAGAATATCCAGGCGTTTTCACACATTCCCGCGGATCGTTCGTTACGTGTCGCGAGCTGTACTTACATTGCGGGGTAGTGCGATTAGAGAGAATTATTATTGCGTTTCATATTACCGCGAACTCTACGGCGCTATTGGCACTTCGCTGATAAAACAATCATACGCTATTATTATAAGAACAACGAAAACAATCGTTGTTATCGTAAAGGTTATTTTCGTTACAGTGGAATTTAGTCTGCGATCGGACGCACTACGCGAACATACAACAGTCTATTCTTATGTTCGGCGTGCTGCTCGGTAACATAATCTTCGGCAGTTTAGCGGATAGGCAAGTGCATCGGTCACGTCAGTTAAGCGCATGTACAATTGAGCTCGTGCAGCTATTAAAAAGCGACTACATGGAGAAGTAGGAGAGTAAGAAGTGCACGCGTAACTTGCAGGTACGGCAGGAAAGTACCGCTGATGATTTCCGTGGTTCTCCAACTGGTATCGGGGATTGGATGCGCCGTAGTGCCTTGGTTTCAAGCATTGTTGCTGATGAAACTATTGAGCGCCATGGCCACTGGAGGCACAATGGTCACTAGTTACGTTATTTGTGAGTCTACGATGAATTATGATAAATTGATATTTGAGTCTTTAGATCGATGCTATGGTGTGTAAGTGTGGGTAAAAGGCTACAGTAGATTATTTTACGTATAAGAGCAGACATTATTTCATAACGTCTCGCCAAAGAAATACGATCCTTTTCACGATATACTGTTGCTATTGATTGATTAGCATGATCAGCAATGTAATTGTCCCAATTATAGGTTGAATTTGATTTACTAAAAAAGTTCACATTATGTACTTTTTGAAAACAAGGGAAAATAATTTTTTTTTATATTCCTTAATTTTGTATTTTAAAATCCAACTCAAAAACGTATTAATATTTAAGAATTAATATTTAAGAAAAAATTTAGAATATCAATTATTTTACCGACTCCTTAAATTTATGAAGCTACTAATAGATTGTGCTACATGTATATACCATTATTCTGTATAGATAACAACGTGAATTGTGAACATTATTAATATAAATTTAGGTGTTGTATAGTCCGTGATATTTGCTGACCATTCATTATAATTAAGGCTCTCACCCTTAAATGTTTTTAATCATTTTTTTTATGATTTAGAATAATCTAATTTAAAATCCAGTTTTTTTTAACTACAATGTTAGTTGCTTATTTTTGTATCAATAGCTTGTTTTAAAATTCGATCGATAAATTTATATAAATATAATGAAAGTTATTCTCTCTAAGCATAAGTGAGCCATAATTAGGAGCGTTACCTTACTAATGAGTTTTTTCATTTATAAAGTGTATTGTTTTAACTGTGTATCTCTTTTTAGGCATGGAAATAGTGGGTACGAAATGGCGAGCCGCCATCACTGTTCTGTACCAATTTCCTTTTGCCTTAGGACATCTGTCGTTGGCGGGATTGGCGTTCTGGTTTCGACATTGGCAACAATTGCAGATCGCCATCACCCTTCCGTCCATTATTCTTTTAAGTTATTGGTGGTTAGCACCTGAATCGCCTAGGTGGTTATTAGCTATGGGAAGGCAGAAAGCGGCCTGCAAGATCTTGCAGAAGGCAGCCAGTATCAATAAAATGGAAAACGTGGACATTCCCGAAATGATAAGGAAACATTGCTTGCAGCAGGTGAGAAAAGCGCTCAACGATTATGTTCTGCCGAAAAAAATTTCGCTAAATTAAGTCTAATACTTCGATGTTAGTTAAGAAACTAATTACTTCAATTAGCCTATGCAAGAATGATTTAAATCACGAAATCATAATTTTTGCGTTTTTCTTGAACTACCAATTAGTAGTTCATACGTCTTTCTACATAAAACAAAAAAGATCCAAGCCTTATGTACGCCTAAATTAATTAAAAAACAGACTTAATTCTACTTGCGCCATTTTTTACTAGTTGCGTCTTCTTTACATATTTTTACAGTTTAAGCTTGTTAATGAATACCTTTCTTAAAAAATTGATTATATTCGATTTCTTAAAGGACTATCAAGAACTTCAATTTATTTATGTTTTTTAAATTGTCTATTAAATTTTTATGAGTTGAATTTTCCTTGTATAACTAATTGGTGCTACGACTAATTATAGTTCTGATATGCGTTACAGAATTTTAAGAAATCCATATTGGATCATAGAGCTTCGTTTGTGGATCTTTTTCGTACGCCGAACATGCGAATAAAATCTCTGTCGATTTTCTTCAACTGGACCGTTTGTGGAATGGGCTTGTTTGGCATGTCACAGTATATCGGCCAGGTCGGCGGCGATATTTTCATTAATTTCGCAGTATCCGGTGCTATACAGATTCCTGGAAACTTCGTCGCATGGTGGGCAATGAACAAATTAGGTCGACGAGTCACTCTGATTTGCAGCAACTCTACAGCCGGCGTGGCCTGTCTGTTCTTGATCATCGTATCACACGGTAAGAGACCATTGCGTTATGTAACGTAAACAGTCGTTATTACATCGAAACACGACGGTGGGTCGAAATTTCACGCAGCGTCACGATTTATTGGGTTGTGTAATATTTGAGAGATTGCCTCCCCCGCCGCTCATTATCCACGAATGATTTCGCGAACAAAACTATCGGGTCGTGTAATGAGCAATTTCGAACTTTTCGTATGTTAATGAAACGATTGTACTTTTATGTTGTTATAATTTTATGAAGCAATATATGCGAAGGCTGTAGTAAGGTTACAGTACGCATAGGTTAAAACATTATTTCATTAAATAATAATGACATAAAAACGAAACTGTTTAATTTTTTGCCTGAATAATCCAAAATTACACTGAAAGAAAAAATATCTAAAGAATAAAAAATATTGATTCAGCGAGTATTAATAACAAAAATTCCCTTAAATCTAAATTTTTTTATTCGAATAGAATAAACAGTTGTTTTAGAATAAATAGTTGAAAAAAGTTAAAGAGAAATATATATATTTTTATTTGAAGAATATTGAATATATTAGAGCAATAAATACGTTATTAGTACTTATCGAAAAAATAATGTTTATTTTTTAGATATTTCTTCTCTCAGTGTAACTCAACGATTTCGCTCGCGAAATTATTCTCGCGCCGGTGGACAATGAGCGAGCGGGAGAGGGGGCGATCTTTCAAAAAGACGCATGGTCGATACGTTTTCGTTGTAGATATCGCCTGGTTAAGATTGCTGTTGGCATGCTGCGGTATCGTCGGTATAGCGGTATCGTTCACGACAGTCTACCTTTTCTCCGGAGAACTGTTCCCCACAGTCGTGAGGAACATCGGAGTCGGCACGAGCAGCATGTGCGCCAGACTAGGTTCCATCGTGGCGCCGTTCGTGGTGTCTTTGGTAAGTTTTCGCATTAATCGACTGTCGCTTATACACTCGCGAAACTTAGAGACCGGGTAATGTTGTTCTGACTTTTGCTCACGTATACAGGCTGAAGTCGGGCCCGTCGTGTGATGTCGCGTGAACAGGTTGCTTATCACTATTGATTGTTTCTCGCTAAGAATCGAAGGAACGTCTCATCGCCACTGGAGGATCGGCGATTCTCTTTTCTAGGTTGCATTTCAAAACATCTTTTTTGAGGAAAATTTTACTCTTAAATCTATAGTTTATATTACATATACTATGGACTTAAGAGTAAAATTTTCTTCGGAAAGGACGTTTTGGAATGCAAACCTAGATTGTTAATTTCAGACATAATTTCAGAGCGGCATCAAAGCGTGGCTACCGCCGACCGTGTTCGGCGTCTTGCCGTTAATTGGCGCCGCGCTGTGTCTGTTATTGCCCGAAACTGCAGGATGCACACTGCCAGAGACGCTTCAGGACGGAGAGGAGTTCGGAAAGTGAGTGAAAGCCCGCGCGCCGGTTTCGTAAATTTAGATGCATGCATTCGAATATACTCCGAATTATGAAACGCATCGATCTCCTTGTGCGCAGGAAGTGTAAGGCGAAAGGGACATATGTGGATGCCGAAGCGGAAGCAGCATTCTGAGGCGAAGCTGCCACGACGAAGCTTTTTAGCCTTATTCCCTAGCAGTCACAAACTATAAACTATAACTAAGTGACGCAAGTGCTATCATTAGCTAACATAAAGCGAGCGACGTTTGTTGTTTGATCTCGCACACAATTAAGCAATTTTATTTATTATATCATTTCCATAATATACGTTAAAAAGACAGGGACTAATATCATCTTTTTACGTTCGCGTTTCTCATAATACCATGATTCACAAATGTGACATTTAGAGAAGTAATATTTTTAAATAAAGATGAAAAGTCATGTGCTGGTATTTTTTGAGAAATACAAGCACGTTTAGAAAGTATTAATAAAAAAAAAAAAATCGAAAATATCTTTAGAAAAGATATTTTTTATACTGCCAAGTAACGAATATACTATTTTGTAAGATTTTATTGGATACGTATAAATAGAATATCTTTTTGTAAGAAAAGTATTTTTCTTCTTAATTGACAAACATGACACATTTGACACGATCCAACAAACCAACTTTTACATAAACTGTCTTATTTGCATTATATTTTGCAAATTGTATTTTGGAAATTGTATTCGGTCTGCCACGTTGCATATCTGACTGAGTGGTCAGATGTTAAATATATTTTTAGAGCTGACGAGATATATTTTTTAGCGAATAAGGTGGTTCGTTCCTCGCAGTTTTTTGCAAATAAATCTTTGCATATCTTGTTATATCGTAGATGTACAATTCTCAGAAACGTTTATGTTTGTCTGTAACTGCTGGTACAATCTGGCATTGCTAAGGCTGCGAGGTGACTCCATCATTGAACTGTGTGAGCAAGCCGTTAATAGATAATTTACGATTGTCACGTTGCGCCAATCGTGTCTATGATTTGCTTATCCGGGAACTAAAAATAGTCTTTAGGCAATATAGACAATCGGAGAATTATCCACAATAAAGTAATTAACATTACCAACGCGTGCGCATAAACACACACATACACACTTAATATTGTAATCTTATGTAAAGGCTCGCTTCATATGAGCTTGTACCGCGATTGAAGAAATGAGTGACTCATGATTGCTGACAATGAAGGGGATTAGATAACAGCTGATTGATGTTGTGATAAATACAGTATAACGTGCATCTTCGCGATTTTTTTCTCAATTCTGACATGGAAACCCATAATACGAGTTTTTAATGTGTCAAAATTTGGACTAAAGTAAAGAGGACGTGTGTAAGAAATATATATATATCAATATAATTGTAATCAGTAAAAAGAGCGATATCTGTCGGATTAAGCGGATGATATAGGGTAGAACAGGCGGCGCTGGAGAAAGAAAGAAGGTGATCGTCGAAAGAGTGTGAGTGTAGCAGAATTTTGTCAAGATGACACGTAGGCAGAAAATAAGTCCCGCGCGTTATTAAGTAACGGTGTTAATTGGAAGAAGAGGTTGAGTTTGTCGTTCGTAGAGTTCGATTAAGACCGATATACGTATATTTCGGTTCAGGGACAGTGAGTAGCAATTTAGCGGTTGAGTGGGGTGTGCACTGTACACGTGGCTACACTCTTGTGTAGTTAAGAACAATAAACTGTTATTTTTGTTGTGACATAGACCATACCCATTTAATACCTTACAACGTGTATATTTTTTTACAAATCTTTTAACCCTAGATTACTAAGCTATTGTAAAGATTATGACAGATCGACGATTTGTAGAAATCATAGGTTGAAGCGTCTCACCCCCGTCTACCTTCCTATATGTTCTCGTCAGTATGCCACGCGGTGTCACTGTGATCACAGTGTGTTTCGGCGCGGAGTTGTAGTGATGGCGTTGTGAAAAATACGATAGTTTAGCAATAGTGGTACTTTTGAGTCACAATAAGTGTACTTTTATTTTTTATGTTTTTTGTGTTTATTGCAGCATCATTCTCACAAAATTATTTTATATTGTTTATATTTAGTGTCTTTATCATATTAACTTAATAAAAACAGTCAGAAGCCATTATGACATATATTTTATGTAAAAAAATTTTTTATTTTAAAGTCGTATTTATTACGAATGTTTAGTAATAACGTTATTTATAGGATAGTTTATATCGTTAATAACGCGTTATCTATACACTGAATATCATTTTTAATACATGGTGTTCGTAATGTTTTATAATGCGCGATAACGATGCCGAGAATAAGCATTTGATAAGTAAAACAATAAACTATCGCTATATATTGTGGGTTTTCTTGTGAGAGAGCTTTCGCGGAAACATTCATGCGTTCTTTTTATTCAAATGCTTACTCGACGTTTTACAAATGATTTAAGTGATGTCTAACAAGATACGTCACACTACGACGAAATTTTTATATAACAAAGTTTTCACACAGAAAACGATTGAAATGTGAAAAGAAAGCGATTGTTCACACGATGGTTTACATACGTGTATTAATAGACAAGATGTACGTTACTGCTATTATGTTTAAGCGCAATTATTCAACGAATAGACGTGTGTACGATTGTCATGCATCGCAGGCTATATTGAAAGCACTTCCGCAAACCGAGAGAACTTCCGCAAACCGTTCCAGACTTCACAGTACTAATGAAGCTATATACCTGCTATTGTTACCGTTTGTCGAAAAATGACATGAAATTCGCCATAACATATTTTACGAAATTTTCTGGAATATTTTGTGTGAAAAATCAGTTATGGCTTACGCGTATTTACATTGTTCAGACTTCGACGTTTGGATGTCCGTTATTTTTTTGTTTTTAAAAATCTAAGGCATATCAATTATTATTATCAAATATCTCGTGTGTGACCACGTAGGTACCGCATGTGGACTTTTTTTCTGTTGGTGGTGTTTCGCGTGAATGTTTTATCCGATACCGGATTTGCATGATTTTGATCACAGACACACCGACACATACTTGGAAGGATGTATCGTGTATAAAAGCCCGCAACACGGTGTGTTATATCGTCATTCAGTTTTGTACCGTCCTGGAACAGGCCATTCTACCAGTTTAAACAGTGAGTGTTTCACACACTAATCTTGAATTAAGATCTTCTCCTTGCGTATATTTGGAGCAATGGGAATTTGCCCTTGTGAATTAAAGCTCGAACCTCGAGACTTTCTCCGCATTAATATTTATACAGTGGAAGTAATAATTATTAATACTTGCTTGGTATATAGCATTTGTTAAAGAACTTGTGTTAAAAGATTAGAAACTAACATCATATAAATATAATTATTGAACAATGTCATATTTACAGCAATTAATGACTTTAACTTACGTCCTTAGACATGGGTGTCATTTATTTTCTTTATTGTTGTGAACTATTGCATCGAGAAAATCGAAGTGATCGTTATAATTAATATAAATATTCAGTGATTGCATAATTCCGGTTACGTTACGTTGGACACAAGAAATAGACTTTGTATGACCTTCAATGTGATGGTATTTTTTCCTAAAATGCAATTTCCTCGGTGTCGTTTGGTAACTAAACGATATAAAAAGTTAGAAGAAATATAATTAATTTTATGAGCATAATAACTAGCGCAAATATTTCTTAGAACTTGGCAATTTGTGTTCAAACGTGCGGGAAGCAAGAAACGTTTTCTCTCTCTCTCTCTCTCTCTCTCTCTCTCTCTCTCTCTTTCTTCGAGAGCTTAAGAAGATTAGATTTAAAAATGTAAGCGAAGTATTTCCGCGTATTTGCCGGAAAATCTGTAAAAATCATCTGCATATTTCTATATTAATAATAGAAATAATTCTCTCGAGACCGGCTAATATCTCTTAATATTAATAAAAAAATAATAAAAAAATAGTTAAATAATTCAGCTCGATTGCATTCAAAATTTAGAGTATTCTTTTTATATCCAAATATACAATGGAAATATAATTAGCAACATAAACTGGCACAATAGCAACAAGGATTTTTCAATCACTAATGTCGACATGCATCATGATTGTTGATTACTCAAAAAAACTTCAATAATATATCAATCATGATTCAAAAACGTTTGTAGCATAAAATATAAAATTATGCATGAAAAGGGAAGTAATATTTAATATATCTTTGTCGTTTTGTCAACATATACACAAACACAATCAGCAATTGTGATGTACGAATATGTAATCATGAATGTGTCGCGTGTGACTGAAAAATTTTAGTTACTTCTATATCATTAGACATTTAGGCCATGTTAAAGTGTATTATATGTTTTCTTGTTTCGTTTTCATGATTGGTTCATGGCTATCTTTGTTGAATATTTGTATAATTTTTAGACCGTAAAATTAGAGGGGTCTTGCTTAATCGTTTGGAAACACAGTACTAGCGTGTATAATGAAGAATCATTTACCCACTTCTATAATATAGTACCAAGTTCAAATAGCTTTTATATGATAATTTTCGTCGAATATTTTTTCAATTTCAATGGTTGGTTACAAGTGTCTGTGTTATGTGTAATATTTTATGTTATAACATTTTGCAGTATAGAATTGTGATGACAACCGTCATCGTAACCGTTCATAACCAAGAATATCGATTTTCGTCTTACAGATATGTTCTACTTACTCCAGTTACTGGCATGTCTGACCGTGGCAAGTGGCCACACCTTCGACACCGTTTACTCGTGGAAGCAGGTCGAATACAAACTCCCAAATGGCATCATCCAAAACGGGTTCATAGCATCCGGCGATTATATCCCGGAGAATAACATGCCATTGGGTTTGGCCGTTTGGCACAAAAAAATGTTTGTCACTGTGCCGCGTTGGAAAAAAGGCGTTTTAGCTACCTTGGCCAGCTTCTCGTTGAACGACAACTCGTGTAAGCAACATAAATAATTCATGGGAAAATATCGTTGAAAATTTTCCATTTTAACGAGACTTGTAACGTGTATGTTAGAAAACGGGTATTATGTCGGAGATGAATATCTCTGAGGGATCTCTCGGGAATGCGAGTTTGTCTCATCATCAGTATATAATTTCTAATTATATTTAATTCATAGCCAGCCCGACCTTGGAACCATACCCCGATCTGAAGACTAACGACATCCATTCGCCCGATGGCCTCGTGAGCATCTTCCGTGTTAGAATCGATGCCTGCGATCGCATGTGGGGCCTCGATACAGGAGTGGACGATATTCTAGGGGATGCGAAAGTTGTGCGACCGATGAGGCTCATCGTGATCGACTTGAAAACAAATATGGTATCGTCTCGAACTTTACGCACGACCACCTTTGTGACTGCATAGTCGCCAGTTTTCTGCCGGTTCGCGCATTGACAGAAGAAATGGTTAATTTAACAAGAATTATAGTTACTTTTAGCCTCAACTGTATTGTTTGGTTGTTCCAACATGAGAAAATGGTAGTAGTGACATGCATATGAGGTTGCTATCACTAACATTATGGTAGAATTCGATAGAAAAAGATGTTTTTCTTCACTATGATTTACAGTAATTATTTCTCTATGTGATTATAGTTACAAGCACATTTTTTTCAGTGCAAACTCGTTAAGATCATTGGCGCAATTATATGCACCTGTTGCAGATTATCCGCAAATATACTCTGAAGAACACGGACGTGAAGCCCGATACTTTCATCGCTGACCTCGTGGTCGACGTGCCACCTGGACAGTGCGACAAAGCGTACGCGTACATGAGCGACTTGACCGAATATGGGATAGTGGTGTACAGCTGGGAGAAGAATGACTCCTGGCGTATTAATCATCACTTCTTCCACTTCGACCCGCTGCATAGTAATGTCGATTTTAAGAATAGAAGTTCGATAATAGTGCCGCCTAGTGCTTTCGCGGTTCGAGTCAAATTTCCTTCCACTAAAATCGTTTCGTTGTTTCACACATTCCGACTTCGCGATTTGTTGACAGGTGATTACAATATCAGCGGCTACAACTTCCAGTGGTCCGACGGTATCTTTGGACTGTCTCTGTCGCCGATCCGTTCGGATGGTTATAGAACGCTTTACTTTCACGCGATGTCCGGCATCACGGAGTTCTCTGTGTCCACGGACGTCCTGCAGGACGACACGCTGAAGAAGTCTGACGAGTACCACAATTTCCATGTTGTTGGTAACAAAGGGCCGCTGACTCAAGGGCCGTCCTCCGTCATCGACCCGGAAACGTGTATTGACTATTTCACTCAGGTGAACAGAAACGGCATTGCATGCTGGGATACCAAAACCGAATTAACTCCGGAAACATTCAGTAAGTATTACGCGATCAAGTATTCATGAGCTTCGCTCGTATGCTGCTGCACCTGGTTAGCGGGCGAAATCATTTATTGCCCTTTTGTGGCATTATATATTTCGAAAATACTCAATTAGCACTGCGGATGTTCAATAAGTTGCTAAAAGCCCGTGTCATTCACATCATTCGACCGAATGCAATTACAACGTCGCAGCGCTTCATAAAGATGTAGTTCGTGAATCTCATCAGAGATGTCTCTGAAGTGCACTTTTATGCAAATATTATCAAGTAATAATACTTGCGATTTCTTCTTGTTAGTTATGATTCGTTAAATATAATTCTTCGGCGTATTTAGCAACGATCAAAAGTACCGCAGTCAAGTTAAGTGAGCAACGAATAATTCAGATGCGACTGCGTGGTTCGTGAGTTCGCAATTAACGCATCACGCATGATTATCCTTTGCAGAATTGGTGGCGCAGAACAACCAGACGTTGGTATTCCCTCAAGACCTGGCTGTCGACAATATGTCTCGAAAGATATACGTTCTTTCGAATAATTTGCCGAGATTCATCCACGACCGCTACAATTCGTCCGAGCCGAACTTCTTCATTACCTCGGCCGATCTCGACAAATTGGCGTTCATGTGCGAACGCGATCCGATGTCAATGAAGCCGAGCCAGCAAGACTACATGATATTTCCCGACTCCTCTTACTAACAAGATAGGAAACGATGCAACGCACGGAGAAAACTAAAAGATTTCACTGCCGCAGCTAATTGTGATTTGCTGATGATGTGTCTGTTACAGTAATTAAATATTCGCTGCTGCAAAATCAAAAGTTTGTTACTGTTGCTGCTACATCGGTCTCATAACTAAATATATATCTACTGATAGCTATGCTTTTAGATATCCACATGTTACAACGAGATTTAGACTACTACATTAAGATTCTTGCAACGAAATTTCTTCTGTCCGAGCAAAGCATACATTATAGATTGTGTTTCACAATTGCAATAATGAAGGCATATCAACGTTCTCTTCTCTCTCTTTCTCTCTCTTTCTTTCTCTCTTCTAAGTATTTTATATTATAGCTTGGAAATATAACAATAAATATGCTTGCATTTTCCCAAAACAAGCTGTACTTCCTCTCGTCTCCGCCAAAAGCATAAACGAAACGCAGACAAACCGGGCAGATGAGATAAATAATGAAGCCGACCGGGGGTCGTTTGAGGATCGATTGTCCGGGAGAATTAGAACGGAACGCCGGCAGTTAGAAGCAGCATATTTTTGGCCGCGGACGGCGGATATCGCGAAATTGAAATTTCGTCGCGTCGCCATTTCAAAATAGCCGTCAGCTGTGTCTCCGGTTAGTCAATCCCTTGATAATTCAAGGAACTTTTAACTGCAACCTTTATAACTCCCGCGGTAGCTTCCGCCTTTCCTGTCTCTCTCCCGCCCCGCCGCCTCCGTCAGACCCATCCTAGGAGCACTACTTTCTTCCGCCCCCTTTACGACTGGTCTACTCTCTCTTTACGGAGCTGTACATCTTAAATAATTGATTCTAACGTAGTTGCCGGTGTTTTTATAACTGTTTTACCGCCCGCTCTCGCCGCCGTGATATACATTATTTAGCCGTCGGTTTTTAAAGTTAAGTCCCCGGGTGTGGAGGTGCGAAAAGACCGAAGGCCTATTCAGGCCGCGTCTGCAGAATTAAAATGTATGCCAGCTGGCGGCGGCGGCGCGCTACCGACATTCAATTAAATTGCCGGATTTCGCGCGGCGCCATTAACGTTGGCAGCGGCGCGCGGGTAATCTTTTAGCGGAGTAAGAATGGCAATTGCGGACCCGCGTCCTCCACTTTTAATACGGTCCTCGTCGGACTATAAAGAGGCCCGTTCGCGATCAGTCGGATCCTGCTGCGCAATAAGGGAAACTTCGCGCTGAGTCAGTATCTCGGTTAATCGTACGTCGCGCGTAAAGGAAAAAAATACTTGAGAATTTATTGGCTGGACATAAAGGTTATTTTGTGAAAATCAATTTTGTTTCATAGAAATAAATTTCATATCCAACACGAAAAAAAAAACATTATGATTGGTCTACACATAAATCTGGCTTTGCCATGCAAATTCGATAGTAAAATATGGAACAACTAATTATGTGGTCGCTGCGATCACGTAGCTATTGCTGAGTGCTGCTGAGCTTACTGCTGTTGCAACGGTGATTATATCTCTGGTTGCTTCAACCAGAGTGTATCCATACTGAAAAAAAAAACTTAAAATTTATTTGTGGGGTATAAAGTTTATTTCTGTGTTAAAGTGTAAAATTTCTTTCTCTGTGGATAAACTTTATATATCTCACATCAATTTTCAAGTACTTTTTCTCAGTGCATGGTAAACGTCATCCCAAGTGATTTCTGGTTGTCACAAACAGATTACGCACAACTAGATTGATATCAAAGTAACTGAGTCATAATCAACTACACATATTACTATCACCCAAAGACAACTATGCTACCTACGACTAAATATTTCTGGTTATGTGCACTATACCCTTTTTTTCATGCACAAATAAATTTTCAAGTATTTCTTTCTCAATACATAAGATAAAACCTGCCTGGATACTAATAACATTAATACCTAACTCTGGTCATTCTGATCGCTTTGTTTTTATACAAATATGAGTATTTATACCTTCAACGTAGAATCTATGTATATATTCAACATATGCGTACATGTATTCCATACCGAAAGTTTAAATATTCGTACTTAAGGACCAAAACAATAAGAACGTTCAAGAAAGTTAGGTGCCGTGTTATTAGTGTCCAGGCATTCGGATACTTTTAACTTATGCATGATACAATCTCTTCCTGTTCTTCCTTCCCCTCCCTTCATTTTTCTTTTCTTTAAGTCAAAAATGTATATTCTCGGCGTAACTCTGGCTTCCTAAAAACTCACCCGGTAATGCGTCAGTTTTTCACGCTTATGACATTTTTTACCAAGTAACGCTCTTATGTGAATCAGTCATAAGTCACGTGGAGCCATACCGCGGTCGATTCACGTAGTCATCTGTATAAACAATACATATACATCCCGTCGCACATTTCACAGCCACTCGTATCCGAGGAGGCTCGTTTCCACGTGCCGGCGAATTTCTGTTCCGGCTCTCAAATATTCACGATTTGTCAACTCCCCTCAATTATTCATCTCCCGCAGGTATCTTTGTTATCTCGCCGATAAGCCGAAAGATGAAGGACGAATGGATATTCCGAGGAGAGGAGCCCGCCGTTCGCTTCGTGCTCGCGCCCCGCCATCCCCGTTCTGCCGAAGAACGAAGGTGTAGAATGCAGAATGCAACGTCGTGCTCTTGCAGAAAGCACTTTGACACAGCCCCACGGGTACATTACTAGGATTGCCGCCACCAATTGAACTCCCCCGGCTCGCCCGGAGACCCTGGCTCGAATCCCTTATGTCTGCAAACACAGCCGCCCGAGGCGACACCGCCGTTCAAACACTCAATCGCTCGATTCACAACGCTGAAGTAACTTGAAATTCTCCATTGTTAACGTTATTTGACTTATCCGCGCGTTGCCGGCGCTGATCTCCATAATAGGTATTACCGTGAAAGGATTCGTACGCCGGCATTGTTCGGCCGAATTTTACGAGAGCTATGATTAAGGCCCACCCTTGCGGCGTTCGTGCGTGCGTGCGTGCGTGCATGTGCGAGTGACCTGCAGGATATCATCGGGGAGTGGCACGGGAAAATTTGTTAACGGGACACGCGGATTCGCGAATTTAAAGACCCGTCCGGCGTGTTTCCCAGCGAGAGCGCGAGTCCCTTCCGTTTCTCGCGGGAAAATAACACGCGTCCACGTGGGACACGCGGGACCAACGAGGAGGATCGAGCGGCTGGAGGTGTCGAGAATTCATGGGCGCGCGAAAATAATCGCAAAATTTGACGATCACGCGATCCTCGCGCCCGTGAGGGAAGTTAAATTTACTCGGAGCCATCCGCGTGAATGCGGCCGGCTTTCTCCGAGTAAATTTAACTTCTCGCATTCGCGCGCGCGGAAACACCCCCGCATACGACCGATTACACGTCATCGAAATCCACGATCCCGGGCGCCTCAGGTAGCGATCGTCGGACAGATATATCCGCTAATACACGGCTTCTCGCGCCCATAGTACCACTTTATACGACCGAAATTCCCAGTAAGATGCAGGAGGACACCGGCAGGGCGGGGAGGAATTCGTAATACAGAGGGCCGCTCTACGACCCCGTTGGGAGGAATTCCGGGGTACGTTTTAAATTGCTGCATCCCCAACCTTCTTGTTTATGTATGCTACCGTGTTTCTTATTCTTGTGCGGCAGCGAAGGAGAGCGCGCCCCCCCTAACTTTATGTGCACAGTGCCGACATAAGTATGCAATCTATGCGTCGGTGTGGCCGGGCGCGGGTGTGTACGTGGACCGTGTGTGTGCGCCATCGCCCGTGTAGTTGTGCGTACGTGTATGCGAAAGCGGCGCGGCTGTATCCCGAAGAAAACCACACACGCGTAAGGTCGCGCGCGTACATGTATGTGTATTGTATGGCGAAACGTGGCCCTATGTTTTCTCTCGCCATGTATTTGGACTCCCCACGATCCGCGCGTTTCCTCCCGTGGATTCTTTTCGTGTTTCGAACAGCCAGACTCTTCCTTCGTATTTCCACCCTCGGCATCGCCGCCACCGCCACCGCCACCGCCACCGCCGCCGCCACCGCCACCACCTCCAACGCCGCTGCCGCCACCGTCTCTCTGGCGCACACTCTTTCGCGTTCCTATCTCTCCGCCACAATTGCTGTAATCTACGATCTAGGATGGTGGATTTAACCGTGGATCTCAGCCACGGTGATTTGTAAAGTTTTTAATATTGTAGGGATCGAAGAGACCGAACGGAAAATATTACCTCGGGAACGCGACGATTGTGGGATAATTAATGGCAGAGGGCTCGACCTATCCTCGTGGACGGAGCAGTTTAATATAATTAAACGAAATGAATAAATAAAATTCCATCCGTCATATCTCTGTCGCGTCACGGTAGTTTTTGCCCTCATTTTTCTCGAATTCTCGAGTTTGACAATTTGCAACCAAAACAGGTAAAAGCACACATTCTCTGGAAGTTCCTATTGTTTTGATCATTAAGTATGCTGAAACTTTCAACAGAGAATATACGTATACATTCAATACATGTATTTTATGTTGGAAGTTTAAATGTTCGTATTTATAAACCAAAACCAAGAATATCTAAAACTACATAAAGTAGAAATATCAATGGCTTAATATATACTTAATCTTGGACACTTTTGCTGTTTCGGTTTCTAAGTACGAATGTTGAAACTTTCAACACAGAATGTATACCTTCAGTGAATTTAAAGACCAAAACAACCAGGATGCCCAGAATTAAATAGAATGTCCGGGTAACTTTACTTTTTACACTTATCACGCTCGCTATTGTAACGCTGAATTTTTTATGATAAAAGTTTCTCAGCACTTACTGAAGTAATCGTTCGATCATTAATCTCTGAAATTTTCCGAAACGCATACCTACGATATAGAACGACTGTATTGTCCGGCAAGAATTGCCAGATGCAGTTATTAAAAAGTCTACTTTAAATCTCGGTACAAAACGCGATTACACGCCCGAAATATTAATCAAGCTGTTATTACGCCTGGCAAAAATATATATACGTATATAGCAACGTATTGTGCGCAAATGCGTATGTTAACCATTAAGCGGACGCGGTGTTGTACGCCGAGTACATCATTTCTGTGTTTTTATGCATAACTAACACAGCAACATTTTTCTCGTAATTAATTTGTTCCTTTTTTCTTTTTCTCTTTTTTTTTTCATTACGATACTTCGCCACTCATCCCTGATGTATATCGATAACCGGCGCAGACATCTGGCTCTTTCTCTTTTTTTCTCTTTCTTTCTCTTTCTCTCTCTCTCTCTGTCTCTGTCTGTCTGTCTGTACCATCTCAGCATCGTCAGAAAACAATTTTTCCCCGAGTTCCTTCGGTATATGGAATGGCCGAGCGCGCGCGCGCGTGCTCGCCGGGCGAATTGTGCGTCTCGCTACGAATATCCGGCGTTATACGAACAAACAACGTAAGCACGGCACGGCAAATGGAGAGATAGAGACGTAGTGCTAGGCGTAGGTTTTGATGGTAGCCGGTGCGGCGATGTGGTAGGTATGTGGTAGGTTAGGGCGGCCGGTTGGTCGCGCGGTGTGCGGGGGACGGTTTGGATATCTTGTCGAGGATAGGCTGCCGGTGCAAGTAGGTTTAATATTTGATACCGCGGGCTGGTCATCCTGCCGAGGCGATAACACAGGCCCCGCGGGAACCTTCCGCCCAACATCCCTCGGAAAACGACTGCCGCCAAACTCGCAGTGTCCCTCCGCCCTACCTGCCTTGCCTGCCCACGATTCTCCCGTCCGCATCCTCCGGTGTTTCCGACATCCGTTCCACCTCTTACCGTCCTGGCTCTGTCCTTCCTATTTTCCCTATAACAGGGTTGGCCTCGGGATGCATCGCCGCGATACACTGCGGGGGAGGGAGGAGGGGAAGGGGGAGGAAGTGCGGCGGTAGCGTTGACCTGGACCGCGCGTTTTCATCCTTCCGCCTTCCGCGACGCCGGCCACGCGAGGATTATCGCGAGAATCGATCCGCCGAAATAACGGATATTACTAACCGACGGGACGGATCAATTGCAGCGGCTCGTGTCGTGGCGGACAGATTGAGTCCGAGGCGGGACTGTGGTGCGCGCGTTCGCTTTGGGTTTTCCATAGACATAATTGCGAATCCGCGCCTCTCTCCTCGACTATATTTCCGCTTGACGCCACGTCGACGTCGTATTAATAAGGGATCGTAACAAAGTGGGCTGTCATTCCTTTCTCTTTTTCTTCTTTTTTTTTTTTCAACGACGATCAGGGAGCTAAATAAGCCATAGGATGTGATGTATTATGTATATGGAAGAAAGGGTCAATCCTTGCACGGGTCAGTTTCATTGGCATTGGCGGAGGATCATATATAGCACGAAACGGCTTTATTCGTTTATTCGATCGACCGAAATCTCGAAGCCTTGCGGGACTAACAGAGGGGACTCGGGTTATACGGAGGGTCCATGGTACGTTAAAAATTTACTATAAAATAGCTCACACAAGTCTGCACTTTACCGCGGTGATTTGGTTGTTCAAATTTCTGCGTATGACATATGATCGTTAAACAAAATTTTCCAATCAATATTAAAGGCGAGCGTACCAACACACTTTGCGATTATCCACAGCGACGGGGTGATTTAACTATGCGACGCGTATACGACAATAACTGCGTACACGACAATAACTACGTTCCTTCTGTCGCGAGAGCCGCGCACTTCCGTTGTCGCGTCTTCCCTCGCGGATTTTCGAGCGGATATTCGATCGTCGCGAAAAGCAGGAAAGTAGCAGCAAAAACATCGACGTATTAAAATGTAAAGTAAATGGCGCTCATACCCTTTTGTTCCTTTTAATTACAGTTTCAAGTACAACACATGTGAGCCTCAAGGCTGCTTTAATGACAGTGTAATGCTTGTGCGTGACTTGAATATTTCGAAGGGCTGGGCGAATTGAACGGAATGTATAATTATAATGCCAACTGCATACGCGCGGGATACCTATTTTTAACGTAATTAGTACGTTGTTGCGCGTATTACGGTTTGCAGCGTTGTTCTCCACGCTCGTCGCCATAAGCGCTCGTGCGGAGCCGTAACATTGATTTCGAAGATGGGGCGAATTTCTCTGTACAAGTCCCAATATTTTATCGCCAAACCATCCATACAGTATCTGTCATATCATTAGCATCGCGTTAACTCGATGAAACTCAATGCCTAAGTGGTATAAGTAAGAATCGATGAAATATCGTGTATCCTTTCATGCGTGGTAACAGTATTTCTGCTTTAAATATATATATATATATACGTATATACATGTGCCGATAATATTAAATAATGTTTCCCTTGTACTGCTAGAAACGTTATAATTCTCTGTACACGTGTAGATCATTACTAAATTATTATATGGATTGGTATTTATTGATGTGTTATCCTCTCCTTCATAGTGTGCTCTAATGATGCGCTGCACTAGACGCATTAATAATGACAGTGGAAGACTCGTAAACAATATCATTCGCTCAAAGAGTAACAGTTCGAGCATTTTTACTTCTCGTGCAAGAATTATCAAATATACGTAAGGAACGTGTGCTCTAAGGACGCGTTGATTAACCTGCCAATGTTACGAACGTTGGATTAATGAGAGCATCGATCATACTTAAAGCTAAAGTGTCATCGTGTTAACATTTCCAACAGATTTCGTACGCACGCGATGATCACGACCTGAACGTTGATTACGTCTATCGCTCATCTTCAGCGACAGATAACGTCAGATTCGAGGCGAGTCTTTTTCGCGAGATACAAAGTCACCGCGCAAGATCGCGATAAGTGGCGTTACCAATTCGTCAGCAACGAAGGCGCCGTGACAGCGGCTTTTGCTTGAGCTCACGGGGGTGCGATGTACGATACGAGAAGTAAGTAAAACGAAAGCACCGGCTGTTCCCGGAGTGACGCGCGCGCGACGGCGAGACACACGGGGATGAAGTTCGAACGACCCCGCAGTGATGGTGGAGAAATAGATTGAGATGAAGACCAACAGGCGCCAAAAGAGCGCGCGTAAGCGCGCTCGCAAAGGCAAGGTAGGAAGGACGGGTGAGAAAAAAAGACAGAGAGAGAGAGAGAGAGAGGGAGGGAAGGGGAGAGAGAGAGAGAGAGAAGAAGAGGAAAAGAGCGACGGGGATTCATTATCCCGAGGAGAAAGATCGTGCGAGAAGCGTGCAGCACGTGCACAAGTATTTATACGTCGCTAAGACGCAACGATAACGCGGCTTACGACATTTGCGTATGACCGAGAGCGCGCGAGGGTGGGTGGGAACAAGTAAAATAGCTGATATTCGCTATGGAGGAGAAAGACGCGCCGGAAGAGGCTATAGAGATCTACGTCGCGAGACAGAGACGGTAAAAGAGAGGGAGATAGACCTAGTTGAACTAGAGATATAGAGAGAGGGTGTAAAGAGGATCGAGCGCGCGCGAGGGCGGCGGGCGAAGGTAGACGTAGAAGGGTGAAGGGATCCAGACACACACACATACACACAAACACACGCAGTCTCACGAAGGACGGGGGGGTACATAGGAACTTCTACACACCCACACAAGCTCGCTCGGGGAAGGATGGACAAACGGGTGGTCGCGGTTAGCGACACCCATGCGAGGCCTGAAAGCAAGGGCAAAGATGGCCGACGTGCATGAGATTAGAGGCGCAAGCGTGACCGCGCAAAGCTCCGCCCCTGTACGGCGAAGCTCTCCGTTCCGCTGGCTGTCGACTCACCCCGTAGCGAACGAACCCTCTCGTCGTGGGCGCGCGCCACGCTGCCGCATCGTCCAGGATCACCAACCCCCGCTGCACCCCCACTTGCGCGCGCTCTCGTTCTCCCTCTCTCCCCCTTCTCTCTCCCTCTCTTTCTCTCTCTCTCTCTCTCTTTCTCTCTCGTTGATCGGACACCACTCCCGCCATCCCCCTGGAAGAGTTCATCCGCGGAGCGCTCCTCACCGGCCAGTCAGCGCCAAAAAGTGCAGAGCTTCGGGACAAGAGTCCGCGTACTGCCCCGCGCGAGCCACCCCTTGCGTATGGCAGGAGCGAGCCGGTATTTCTTCCCTTTCCCTCTGCCAGTGTCACCCGTAAACCGAGTGCCTCGTGGGACACGAATCTGGTGACTTGGTCTAGCTCGCAGGATCGTCTTCTCGATCTGCCGAGTCAACCCGGCCCTCTGTTCGGCCGCGCGCGGAACGTTCAGCCGTAGGTGTAGGACGCCGGTGAAACTGTGCAGTGTGCAATCGATTCCGATATCATTTGCGGATTGGAAGGTGCCGCGAGTACGCGATCGAGTACGCGAAACGTTGTTGCTCGTCGCGCGCTATACACCCCCATAAGTGTGTGTGCGCGCGCGCTCGACGTCGTTCTGTGGACTGTTGACGGTTCACGCGAACGATGTTCAATCGGTAACTCTGACGCTCGACGACGGATCGAGGATGCGGGACCGCGGGTCTTCAGCGTCCGTCGCTGTGCTGATAAACTGACTTCGTGGCCCGGACTTGACAGACAGTGTACGCCTGTGTGGGTGCCACTACATATCGAGGTGATCCACGCGGATCGTCGCGGTCTTACCCCGACGTTCGGCCTGGACGTGCGCGACTTTGCTACCACCGACTCTACTTGTCCCCCCTGTGGCACGTCCGCGGTGAACGGTGAACACACTTTGAATCGCTGCTACTGTCTACCAGGACACACGGGTTCAGTCACACAGATGCGAACACGGCCCGGAAGCAAAGGGCGCAGCGGTCGCTGCTGGTACCTCGCTTACCGTTCCGTCTGAGGCTGCCCGATCCGAGAGCTGTTGCGGACCTAAGTCGGGATAGGCTTCGCGGCTCGCACGATGATGTACTCACCGGACAAGATGATGGGGAGCAAGGGGCTCCACGGGACGCCGATCGCCGCCCCGGGCTGCTTCCCCTCGGGGAGGTATTCGCCGCCGCCTTATCGCGCCGCGCCGGATCCGATGCCGCCGCCGAGACGATGCATGCCCAACACCACGGTGAGTGATGCCACATTATCCCCTACGACGCCGCTTCATCGGGGCCCGTCGTATCGCTCGATATCCCGAGAATAGCCGTTGTTGAATCCCACGAGAGACCCTACGCGATCTACCCCGAGAGACTGTGAGACCTTAGGATTTTTGGCTGCGCTTGTATACGTTGCGACGGTGTGTTCGACGTTAGTAGAATTTGTTCTTCGCTTCTGTCCAGCGATTTCATTCTCCTCCCTCCCTCGAAACCTTCTACGCGTGTCACGCCAGCAAGGATGAGAATGTGTCGCCGAATTTAAGGCTTTATTTTAAACGAGCAGCTCTCACAGCGGCCAATATTCAAGGATAGGTGATAGGTTTTGCGAACTGTGAGTTGGCATTGTTATCTAACGCGATTGGCATGATATAACATCCTGGACATAACATGAGTTGCCAATGAAACAGTAGATATTAATTATTAGACATTACTTGGCTGAAAAAAAAATCTTTAGTTTCTCAGTGATTATATATTCCACAACATGTTCAATATTCCAGTGTGTATACGAATACGTAGGACCTAGCTACCAGTTCTATTCGCATCGATTGTATATCCTGCCTTTCCGGTAAACTAGACTAGGCGACTCGAATTATACCAATAGGCCGTAGTTATGCAAAAACGACCCAATCCACAAAATTATAATTTTTAATTTTTTCTTTTTTTCTACCAATGGATAGTCCATGTCTTTCAATATAAAATAAAAAAAGATTAGAGCCTTATGGGCGTCAAAAATTAATTAAAGAAACAGTTTTTCTTTTCTGCACTATTTTCTACTAATTGCGTCTTTTTTAATGGTTAAGCTTTGTCAATCCTTAAAGAGAAAAAAATTGGTTATGCTTGATTTCTTGAACGAGATTGCGAAGAACTTCAGTACTATCTAGGCTTTTCAGATCATATGTCAAATTTTTATCTTCACTTTTCTCCTTACTTAAGCGTACTTCATGTACTTAAGCGTATTTCATGTACTTAATGTACTTCATGTACTTATGGGTTGGATCATTCTTCCATGACTATAGCCAATTGACCTATCCAGTAATTTCACGACGACAAACCACCGCGACAAACGTTTCAGTGAATATGTGCCGTCGCTTTCATGCTTGTGGGATCTAACGGTTTATCAGGTTTTCGCCTGATATTGACCGTGGAGCATCGGTCACGGTATTTGTCGCGATATTCTGACATGTTAAAAGTGCAATCTATCTTGTCTTTGTTTGCAAGAGTCGAAAGGTACCGCGCGAGAGGAACGTCGCTGGAGTTTCTCTTCATTCGTTTTCATTGCCCGCGACACTTGACCGCGTCGGCACGCTCATATTTCTTGTACTTATGGACGACATGCAGACATTCAATTTTAGTGCTAATACACCTATAAATATAACTGCGGACACAGTATCAAGAATATGTGTGAGAGCTCATGCTCCTTTATTCATGGAAAGATCAATATTTCTTCCAAGTTGCGATTATATTTATAAGTCATCGCTTTCGGAGGGATCTGGAAAATCGTTTCTTCAGACATCGAATTGCATTTAGCTGATGGAAATAGTTATTCCTAAGGACGTCACTTTTACTCGCTGCGCATGCATTTCGTGTCGACGACATTTTGGGCACCGTTGAAGCACTTCGTCGAAGATTGGATAACGCTCCGGAACTACGTATTGCCCCAGTTGTGGGAATTGTAACGTGTAACGTTAATTAGAGAGCACACATGAAAATACATGCACAGAGACATATTCCACGACCGCGCTTATGTATTCACCCAGCTATCTTTATTTCAACGCGGTTAAGGGCAAGAAGAAGCTCAAAGAAATTCATGCTGCGGATAAACCCGTACAATAGGAGCTAATAGACTAATGAAACCGAAGCAAATGAAGTATAATATCTCTTCCAGCAGTAGCAGCGCTTGCTCAAAGTTCCAATTCCAGCGCAAAACAGTAGAACGCGAAAGCGATTAGCTCGGGCGGATACTTCATGGGTCTTTCGTCGCGATTAGTTCTACTCTTTTCACGCATCCCTTCATTAACAATTAAGCGGAGTGGATTTGACGGGGAACAAGCGCGGCGTCGTGCCCTTCTGTGCAAATAAAGAAGCTTATTCTGCCGTGGCTGCAAATGGATACTCTCCAGAGATTCCAGCAGGACACGTTACGGAGAAATATCCCTTTTTATCGGCGACAGAGCTGTATGTGTCTTGTCGCAACCGCAGCTTTAGATCTATGTGAAGGATACGTAAAACATCGGCTCAATATTCATGACAGTTAAAGCACCCTTACACCGGCGAAGACACGGTTAAGCTCGGTGTAGCTCAAAATTTCGGATAATCGTATAATCGATGCTCGTTTCTGCGGCGCGATGTTAGCCGCTGAAAAATACAGAACGTTTATCGGGGACACTTCAATCGGGTTGCTTCAATCAAGCAGTCGGAGAATGTGTCACGATATGTGCTCTCTGTGATTCGTGTACAATAATTATAATTCTACCTGTTCGCCGTAGCCACCGTTTTAAGCGGAATATCCGCCAGCTGATGGACTCGGCGGTTAGATAAGACACAGATGTTCTGTGCACATCGAAATCGGTATCGCTGGATTTCTCACCGTGGAAGAGCTCCGAGGAAATCGCGAAAGACGACGTATAATCGCATTGATGAGGATGCAACTCGGCCGTGCCAGGCGAGGCTTCAGAAGACACAAGCGCGCTCTTGTCAAAGGAATATAACTGCAGGAGAAACTCCGATTGTCAGTTCAGGAAGTAACAATAATGCAAAGAAAAGGATTGACATCTTCGCAATATGTGATGAGAGATGAGATATGTATAGAGAGATGAGTTTCCGAATATGAATTACATACGCTGGTCCGACATATCAACGAGTTTATCAGAAAATCATGTCGATTGCGATATCAATACGTAGCGAACTTATCAGAAAATGATATCAATTCTTCCCCGCAAATCGGACCGATCGAAGCGAGCCAAGAATAATAATTGTGTTTGGACTACTATTTTCGCCGGCTCTATACGATTGTGAATATAACAATAAATCGCGCGACAATTGGATTACATAAAATTACATCGCCGGCCAGTCGTAGAAGCGCAGTCGGTCGCAAAAGTGAAAACGCTCGAGGAAATATCCATAACGATAGAATCTGTCCGGCGAGTAGCTCAATAAAAATAACTTTCGATTCGCGATGCGGTTAAAATTAAACGTCTCAAGGTTTCATTTAAATCATATCCCGCCATTCTGCGAAACGCTGCATTTAGAGAGAATGTGTGTGCTTCGTTATCGAGCGCCGTTTTTCTATCAAGGTCGCATGGAACATCATTAACGGAAATGTCACGTATGACAGCGAGGCGCTCGAGGAGCGAGTGATTTTTGAGAATTGCGCGAATCGATTTGCGACGGAAAGATCGCGCGATGTTCGAATTAACTTCACCTTAAATTACATCTCTGTGTTACTTCGATCGGTCTGTTGTTATCCAACGCGAGACCTCGACAAGGCTGTTGCTATTATTGTTTATCGCGGCTTTCTTTGTTCTCTCGAGATTGAGACTCATTAACTGTCCAGGTAAGTTCGCTCAGATATAATTGAGAGAACACAGAGATCTTGTCGCCTGGCAACGCTCTCCAAAGTAGATTCGCCGAGGCGTCTTCGATGTTCAGCGGCTGCGACGCGAGTATGGAAGCTCGACGTTGAAATTCTCCTTGTTTCAACTGCCAGATTCGCAATTTTCGAGAAATTGCGCGACAACAGTCCCATGTAGTGCGTGTTTGGTCTATCGCGAGAAGCGGCTCGACGTAGTTATCTCACGTAGTTATCGGCAGTCGATCGTTTCGAGTCGTGTAAGAATCACATCTTACCGAGAATGATACAAACAGGATATAACGAAATTAGCGAGGATTTATCGGCTTTCGCGTGGCTGTGTATGCGCGCAGGCGACACGTAGACACTCGTAGAAGATATTTTCGATGAGCGCGTCGCAGATGTACTGTCTCCTCCGCTGTCTCATTACAGTATTATCCTCATTATATCTTATTTATAACGGATCAGTGTCTCGGCACGTACTAAACGGATTTCGTTCACTGAAATTGATACAACGCCACTAGTAGTCACGTCTTTCGCGCGCCGTCCGGTCAATATTTCAATTCCCGCGAATGTATAAGATATTCGTTTATTCGTTAATAATAATCCGATCGATTATTAACGAGACAAGCGTCGATGCCGATCAATGAGTCATGCGGACGTCGAACATATAATAGCGAATACATCATCGCCTCTCAGGTATCGCACGCGCCATCCTGGCAGCTCGATAACGAATAAAGAAGGACACGCGGAATCGCATCTCTCGCGTCTCAGGCTCATTCAAGAGACCCCCCGAGCCGCAGAGGCTCCGTATTCCGATAGCCCGGAAAGAGGGTGGCTAAATCGCATCAGATGGGGGCGTTATGCCGAGTTAGAAGACGCTTGTTTCCCGAGAGCGATCATAAAGCTCTCGCTGAAGTAGCGAGTACCTAAACAATATCAATCACCGTTGAGCCTCGTTTCGCTCCTCCGCCCTCCGCTGCGGGTCTCCCCCTCGTTGTGCCTGTCGACCTTCTTCTTCACTCCTCGATCGCGACCGATCCTTCCGCGCGGACTTCTCCGAGGTCAAAACCAAACCATATCGAACGAGAACAAGTCCCTCCCCGACGGCGCGATGCGCTCCCCGGGCTACATTGCGGGCTCCACACAGTCTTTAGTTTATTCATGTGACGTAATAGGATAAAAACCGTCGCTACGAGCTGAGTGCCTAGATGAGATTACAGCCGTACTGTTACGCCCGGTAACGCGAATCCGATGTAATCGCCCCTTCCTTTGATTTTTCTGTTCAGTCCTCCCGATGACGCGCGCGCGAGAGATGGCTCTACTCGGCGCGTCCCGCCGTACTTATGCCACCCTCCTCCCCCTCCCCGCGTACCTACCCTCCACCTGGTCCACCGCTATACG